GTGCATATACACATACAAAGAACTGCTCTGAGCACAGAACTTACGGGTGTTTTTATTTTTACATTTCAGCTCTGATTAAGCTCAAAAGCAGAGATGGAGGACGTGCAGCTAAATCAGCTTCTGTACGCATAGCTTGCCTTCCTCCATTTCACACTGAGCTACCTCCTGGATTTACCTGCACCATCGCAGGATTTGGGAAGGAGAGCGCAGGTTAGTAGTACAGGACCTCCATCCTTTAGACTGAGCTCTGCTCTCTCAACCTTTTCTCACATTTGACACTTTGTTGCAGGCTCATTCCAGTTCTCACAGTATCTGAAAAAGGCTGAGGTAAAACTGATGTCCAACGCTGACTGTAGCAAAGAAGTGCACTACGGAAAACGCATCACTGAAAACATGTTCTGTGCTGCAAGCCCTGACTGGAGCACTGATGCCTGCAAGGTAAGGACAGGGCGCAGGGTATGCCATGGGAAACAAGACATTTGAGCTGGCTTTAAAATATACATCAAAAGAGAAGTGAGTTAGAAGAAGTGGTAACTTGAATTGCAGCATGCATCATAACCTTTGACAGCTTTAAAGCGGATCTGAAGAGTATTTCTTCATCTTCTTGAAGAAACTTGCTAACATTGAAAAGTGCTGAATAGCATAATGTCAGATGAGTTACCTTTAGGTTAAAATTTGTTGCTAGTTGTCAACCTCAAGACATGTCAAGGGTTACCTTCTGAGTATATTTTCACAGTTTTCACATGAAAATATTTGTTTGTCAGGGAAAAAGTGAATCAGGAAACAAAATAATGATAAACCTGGAAATTTTAGTTAACACCTGGCTGTTTTGCCCTTTTCCGCAGGGAGACTCTGGCGGTCCTTTGGTGTGTGGAGCATCAGGTCGGATGTTTCTGTTCGGCGTGGTGAGCTGGGGTGAGGGCTGTGCCTTGAAAAATAAACCAGGTGTCTACACAAAGGTCACCAACTACAACACATGGATCGCAGGAAAAACAGGACTCATCAAATACGCAAAAGGACTGATGTATCCCCTGAAATGAAACTGTCCCAGAATCGTATTTATTTATTAAGTGTTCCCTAAAGGCAGCAGGCTTTTTGCACATGCAAGCAAGTGCAGATGTTGCAGGTTTTGTTCTGAGAGCAGCTACCATCGCTTACTGTGAACATGTTTTTGCACTGAAACGATTTAATGTAAATATTTAAAAAGAGTATTTTAAAAACTGCTTTAATTGTTGGTTGCATTATATATTTTTATTACTTGTGCATTTTTCAGGTATTCTGCATATTTATTATTGACTTTTAAAATAAGCAATTAGGAAACATATTTATGTCAAATAATTTAATTTCATATAAAAGGCTGGTCCTGCTGTTGATGAAAAAATATATATAATAAAAGCTTATTTATCAACTCATTTTTACTGTCTCTTTTATCCCTGGGTTATATGTATAACAAATGGCAAGGCCACTTGTTTTCCTTTTATACAGAAATAAAGAATTTCACCCCAGTAGCTGAATCAGACTAAGCTAAAGAGTCCCAAAGTCAAACACCAGAGGGCACTGTTGTGTGAAATTTTCTTTTTTTAGCCTCAAAATAAAGATCACAAAAGTATTTTAGAGCAAACAATAGTGACGTCTGATCTGTTTCATATCTGATCTGTGTGCTGTGTAGCAGTTTGGAGACAGAACTCAATAGACTAGAAACACAACAGGGGTCAAAACAAGACACCAGACTAGATAAACTGCTTTGCATTTGTCTTCTGTCACAGATAAAGCATTCTTTGTCTACAGCAGTCTGCTGTAGATTGACATCCAACCACTCCCACATGCCCTGTACTATAACTTCAATCACTCCTGCTCTTCCTGCTCACTTGTTTCCCATACCCTCCATAGCTGTGGTTTTCCAGACTTTTAGAAACCTGGCGCTTGCAGAGGCATACTCTGTGACTGCATCTGCTAAAACTTCCTTACCTTATCTCATTATCCTGCTGTACCTGTAACACAGATGAACTGTCTGGACTTGAATCTGTGTTTCTAGCCCCAATTTATTATTTAGGCAAAGGCTAAAAATGCATTTGAATACAAACAATTTAAAAAAAAAGATAATGCATGAATGGTTAATAAGAAACAAAAGTCTTGAGCTCGATTCGCACGTCAACAGATTAACAATTTTTATCTTTTACACTTGGACACAATTAAGTATGTGACATTTGGTAATTTAAACCAGGAAATGTCATCATGTGATGGTGCTGGATAAAATGTCAGGGGATTACTAAATAAGAACATTCATCCTTACGAATGTGTAGACCGCAAATAAAATTCAAGGAACCTAATCAATTATTAATCGAAGCATTTCTATAAAAACAACAAATGTCAAGCTGTTGACAGTTCTCAGTGAAAGTGAACTCAGGAGATCTTCAAAGTCATTATGCTAAATCCTCAACTCATCTTGTTGCAAAGGAAAACATATATACTGAACTATTGCATGCAATCATCACCACTGTTTATTGCTTCCAAGTGGTCTTGAGCAATAGTTGAAAGTCTTTTCCAAGGTTTTCTCTGACTGTCTGACTTTTGTATTTATTTTCAGCCGACTTCTTCTACCTGACAACTTTCAGAGAAGAAAAAGAAAAAAAAAGAAAAAAAAAAAAGAGAAGAATCTTTTTCTTTGCTTATTAAGCCACTTAACACTGACCTATGAATCATTCAAGTATAAAAAAACATCTAATTAAAAGGATTAACCAGTGTTTTCCCTACACATAACAAACAGTTTAGCAAAGAAATTTTAAACTGTATCTTTAGTGACTTTGTTACAATCAGCCTGTTGCAAAAACAAACCATTTATTCTTATTATAACAGGCATAAAATTATATTTTTTGCACCAACACGGTGATTCACCAAGAGCTATTAGTTGAAAACGTGTCATACACCAGCACAATGTGATTTGTGTCCTTAAATATAATTGAAGAAACTGGTCAAGTGGAAGACAAAAGAAGAAGTAGCAGGCCTAAAATAACATCTACAGCAAATGAACGATATCTGAAAGTTGCATCTTTAAGAAATAGCAAAAAATCCAGCAAATCCCTGACACCAGATGTGAAAAATACAACTGGGCCTTCAGGTGATCCATCTACTTTTCACTAAAGCCTTATCAGAAATGGTCTCAGTGGATGGGTGGTTGTCAAGAAGCCATTCTTAATGAAGGGAATGGGGGAGAAAAGGCTGAGGTATGCCAAATTACACAAGACGCAGTTCAAACAGGTGTGATGGATCCAAATTTTACATTTTTGGTTAAAATTGTTGTTAACATGTATGGAGCAGGTCAGGAGAAAGCACAGCAGTGCATGTCTACTGTAAACCACAGCAGAGAAAACGTCAGGGTTTGGAAATCTTTCACTGGAAATCTTTTCAAAAGTGATGGAATACAGAACATAGAAAAGTACCATGCATTACCATGTAACACTATCTGAAAAGCATCTGATTAGATCAAGGGTGACTAAAGACATTTGCACAGCACTGCATGTTGTAGTGGTATAGTAAGAAACTGTGGCTTATGTGCAAGTGCAGGCAGTGCTACTAAACATGGTTCTGCTGCACAGTGGCCAAACCTCATATCTTCTCAGACATACAGCATGACTCACAATATGACCACATACCACAACAACAATCACTCAAAAAGAAATATTTGAAGGGAGCACTAAGCATCACTGCTCCAGCCATGATACGCAGATTAAGTGCAATGAAAGCATCAGAATACACAGTGTTGCTGTGAACAACCACAACATCCAGTTGGTCATTGTGTCATTTCTGAGCACATACTCTAAAGCCTCTCTTAACAACCTGCAGCAATGTTTTCTTTCAAAGTCTGTTTGGACAAGTCCACATATACAGATAGTTCACAGCAGGGCTACTGGAGCCAATCGGAGACTGTCCTACCCCTCCTCAATTACTCATAGACACCAGTTTACTTTATTGCATCTCCTACTCTGCCTCAGTCCGTATATGGTTTGGAGATGCAGTGAGTACAACTCTTACTCCTCTTTAAGGACATTTCCTGAGATGAGAGGACATTTGTGGGGTCATTTCTAACCAGTCCACTATGTCTGATTTGGGGGGGGGGTTAACCTTTTGTCCACATGCATCCACACTTGGTTGCAGGCTCTTTGGTTAATCTGGGGTCTTGAGGTTATGAATACTGCAGTTTTTGCTGCTGGGTTCGCCACTTTCCCTAACAGAGATTCAATTATGAGGTGCAGGGACAGCAAACAAGCCGGCAAGCATGCACACACAAGCGAGAACTGCAGGTATAAATGACATTCATGGGCATTGTCAGTTGGGTTGTTAAGTAGCCTATCTTCAGCACCAAAGTCCAGAAGCAGAGAAACAGCATGTGGGTGCTGTGCTGTAATCTTTGAGACTCCTTTCAGCTCCAGACTGCAGCAAGCTGAATCCTTGGTCTTTATTTAGACCTGCACATTGAGGCCTGGAGACATGAACTCCTGACCCACCTTTTAATGGACGGAGATCATATGTCAGATGTAGGTTCGAAGCTTCATAAAACCACACCAACAATTTTTTTTCTGCACTAGAGCCTACTAGGTGGTGCAGAACCTGCTCCCTTTTCTATCCCTTACAGTCTCACAGATGTAAAGCTGACCTTTATGAGTCTGCAGGGAGTCACAGCTCAATATGTTTACAACCTTCCCTTGTTCTTTCCTTGATATTGCGCGCCCCCACCCCTTATCTTGAATCATAATAGCTTAAGTTACCCCAACACTTTCCCTTTTTGGGGGCTATTGGCATGCATGACGTCATTTGGGAAGAGCTCTCACTGTGTGTGTGTGTGTGTGTGTGTGTGTGTGTGTGTGTGTGTGTGTGTGTGTGTGTGTGTGTGTGTGTGTGTGTGCAGGGAAGGCGTCAATGCGCACCAACACCAACCAGCTTGGCAGCTGTATTCCTTCGCTGTGATTGGACAGAGGGCGGTGATTCCTTCTGTCACGATTTGGGTCGCTCCCACCGGAGAACACCAACCGTCTGAGTCCAGCCTTTACCGAAGAGCTCTACGGAGGAGACGGTGCACACCGGGAGGAGAGGGTTTCCTCTCAGGGGCTGGGCTGACAACTCGGTATTTGTCCTCCTGTCGGTGAGGAGGAGAGGGAAGAAGCAGAGATAAGGGAGACCATCAGTGCTGGAGCGCCCAGCCGCCTTTCTTCTTCTTCTGTCGGGGCTGCGGTAAAAAAGTCTTTCACGATGCCGGTGTTTCACACCAAAACCATCGAGAGTATCCTGGAGCCAGTGGCCCAGCAGATCTCTCACCTGGTCATTATGCACGAGGAGGGGGAGGTAGACGGTAAAGCCATCCCGGATCTGACGGTGCCGGTGGCCGCTGTGCAGGCTGCTGTCAGCAACCTTGTGCGGGTGAGTTTGAATCAGGGCGTCAGTTCAGTATGAGCTCAATGGCAAAGTGCCTGCATGAAGTGACATTTACCACTCAAACTTTCAACCTGCAGAAAAGCGACATTTCTGGAGACTGGCTTTTGCAGTGGTGTGACAGCGTCTGTTTAATGTGTCATAAATCATTAGAATAGCAGGTCAGCAGACTGCCCTGCACCTATCATATGCCAATATCGGTTCATTTTATCTTCTGTGGGGCTTCTGCGTTCACGGAGTTAAATCCCTGTTTGGTCTTTATTTGCCATTAAAATTACATAAAGCTGTCATACACCCAGCTAACGCTCGTGCATGTTTTAACGGGGTCCTACAGTAGCTCCTACAGTAGTACAACAAAGCAACACAACATAGCAAAGTTTGCTGAGATTTGTAATCAGATAGCAGCTGAGGTCAATGAAGTTTGTAGGGCGGAAGAAATGAGTGGTGATTAAATTAAAAGCATGCCTCTCTCTCTCTCTCTCTCTCTCTCTCTCTCTCTCTGTGTGTGTGTGTGTGTGTGTGTGTGTGTGTGTGTGTGTGTGTGTCCTGCTGTGTCGTAGGTGGACCTGTGTACTGTAGGTTTTGTGCTCTCAGCTTCAACAGCCCAAGTTAGATTATTGCAGACTTTGCAGTTTATGAAACTCATCCATCCGTAGTAATAAACTCCACAGAGACTATATAAACACTCTGGTCATTTATCAGACTCCCACCTCATCTCTTACTCCTTTGCTCATCTCTTTGTTCATTCTTTTCCAAACTTCTTTGACCCTCCACTTTTCCACTTACACCACCACTGTCTTTCTTCTCTGTCCTGTGGAATCTAATTGGTCGATTTTTATAGAGAGCTAAGCTTTAGTCAGTCATGCACTGCCTGGGAGAAAATCAATAGAGGCCACATCATTAATGCTGGGTGACCTGGCTTCACTCACTTAAGAGAAAATAGCAGCAGACAGGAGGACTTCTTACAGAGAAGAAGCTGGTTTCACGTTCATTAGTAGTTGCTTCTCTGGTCATGTTTTAAATAGAAACGACACACTAAATTGAAATCATTGCTCCTTAAATGTTAAAAATCTGATCTGCTGCACAGTGCCTACATTTTTCGACACAAATGGTGGATGCGATGGTGGGATAGGTTGCACAATTAGTAACTTGTGTAGTGTTCCTGTGAAAAAAACTTACGAGTGACATCTTTTGTGGTTCTTGAATAGCAGTCCACTTTTTCCCGTGCAAGGACACACAAGATCATCTTGATAAATATCTCATTAACTGATAATGACCCAGGCTGTTCAGTTTGAACTCGAACACTGCACCATGCCACAATGAAAACCCCATCCTTTATCCAATACCCTCCAAGTGGATTAAGTCCTTGATGTCTCATTGCTACCAGGCATGTTCCTCTGTCTCTGCTTGTCCTTGTTGATTCATTCAGTTGATCCACACAGACAGCGAGCAGAAGGAGGCTAATAGCAGCCTCAGGCTTGTTGATGGGTCTCAGATGGAGTTGCGAGGTGTGAAGATATCAGGGCTGAGCACAGAGGGGAGGGAAAAAGGTGTCAGACAGAAGAAATGTTGGTAGGTGGGATGGAAGCATAAAAAAGGGATTAACTAAAAGTAATAAAGCCTGCATCTTTCCCCACTTCGCATTCTATAGTGGTATATTTATAGGGATGTACGTTTTGAGAGTTGTTGTACTCTCAGACAAGATGATTGCTCCACTGACAGAGGAACGAGAGCTATGAAGTGGGTGACAAGATTGTGTTGAAAGCGAGCACAAAGGGCGCTTGAGAACTGAGCTTGTAAAACGAGCAGTAGCTGGTTGCTGGGTAGATACACTTAATTGGATGTAAGGACATGCACACATATGCTTTATTTTAGAAAGGTGAATCACTTCTACGCTTGTGCAATTTGAACTAAGATATAACACAGTATACAGCAACATGCCACCACAGAGTCCCACTGCACACTGATACAGTTTCACTGTTAACCCCGTCCACAGTGGGATGGCTGTAGGGGGGTACTTAAAATCTAGGTCACTGAGACACACACTTGCAAAGATAGTGTCTGTCTCAATCCATCAGAAGTTGTGCGTGGGTTGATGCAGATCCGACTAAAAGATGTGAAAGATACTGTTGGTGTTTTTTATGTGCCTAAAAGTGTGAGCTTGGTGGAGTTTGCAAGGTGTCTGCTCCTCAAGGAGTCAGCACAGACCCTGAGTATGTTTGGGGGGTGGGGGGTGGGAAGGGGAGGAAGGAATAAATAGATTTACCGTTGAGTGAAGTAACCACACGCTGATGGAAGTGAGCAGACTAAGACAGAGAGGGAGAGGAGGGAGGCTGCAGGAAGATGCAGAATTTTTCATGATTGGTAAAGGAAGGAGAAAACATCCACATTAGCTTGGACGCTGTGAGGGAGAGAAAGTGTTTCTGGCTTTTTCAGACCAGACCCTGCCAAGCATCATGGTCTGCCCTCCCATCTCCAGCCCTCTACACACACACGCACACGCACACACACACGCACACGCACACGCACGCACACACACACGCACACACACACACACACACACACACACACACACACAAACTCTTCTCAGCCGGCTCTAAATATGAGCCATCTCTCCTTGTTCTTTGGCAGACCCGGGAAAAGTCTTCTGGCTGTGTGTCCACACATGCTCTCTGCTTACCAGTGTGCCTTAAATCTATTCATGGATAAAGCTGTATTATGACATAAAGTCTTACAGCTGATAGATCGTTTACAGATTTGAAACTGATGTTAATAAAAGCAAATGATATTCATGGGCAAGAGGAACCGGGGGCACGGTGATGAATCATCCAGAGTTATTGTAGATTTGTAAGATATTTTTTCCCCCTTTTTTTTTTAGTTTTGAACATGTTTGCTTGTTTTGTTTTTTTATAATTTTGGTGTGAGTGGTATTTGTCAAAGGAAAATATGTAAAAAAACTGACACACAGTCTGAGTCTTAGTCCCAGTTAACATACAGTATGAACCTTTGCTAAAAATATAGTATTTATTTTGTATTTTAGCCAATTAAATTATGTTTCACAGCTTGGTTTAAGGATCTTTCTGCTCACAATAACACAACAATGTTGTTGTTTTTTTACTCCATGAGGAAAAATATTCTTCTTTTTCATTTATTTATTCTTTAGTACAAGTTCTTGCACACACTGTCATTAAAGGTCTGGTTACCACATGAAAACCAGTAGAAGCTAATGAATCAAATATTTCCCAGTGGAGACCAAAACAGAGCTAAAACGAGCGGTTGACAGAGGACAGATGGCATGCAGCAGCATGGGATCATGTGGCCACAGTCTGTGAACCCCAGGCCACCAAGATGTTCTCTAAAATAATTATTAGTCATTAGTGGCAGGGAGAAAAGATCAGCCATCATTCACAGATTGGACAGAAATGTCAGCTGCACGCTCATCAGAGGTAATATCTCTGATCTATACACCCGCTCTGAAAGCTGTGATTGACAGCTGCATTTCCTGCCGAAGTAGTCCCACCTTGCAGGATGTACAACTGCACACACAAAAAACAACCCACACACATACATACACATCACACTGTCAGCAAACCTCTTAACTGTGCATTAATAATGTATTGAATAATCAATACCAAGTGTTGCTGCTTACAGGAAGCTCTTCTGCTCTCCGCAGCGCTTTGATCAGTCACCTGATGGCACTCTTTGAGTTCGCTTGCAGGGTTTAATCAGGAGGACATGCTCTACTTGGGGAGCTACATTCCACACATTTTCGTGTAACAAAATCTTCATTTTCCCAAACAGGGAAACTGACGGCTTCGGCTACTCAGCTAGGACTTCCTGTCCATTTTCAGATTACATTTAGGCATACTGTAAGTATCTATTGCCATATAGTAAACAAAGTTGGTAGTAAAGTGGACTGGTTCTTATATACCGGTAGTGTTTTTCTACTTGAGTAAACAAAGCACCACATTCACAGAAAAAACCCCAGAAAAACAAAACATATATAGTTAGGTTTTAAAATGGTAAAATACTTGCTATGCACCTGAAAACAATCATTAAGGTTTTTTCCGTCCTTTCTACCCCACGTGTGCTCTGTGCATTTCTGGAAGAAGAAACACCTTTGTTATCTCCTGGAGAAAATATTCATATTTATTCTGCTCAAAGATCGACTTCTGTCCCATAAATAATTGTTTTAGCTTCCATTAAAGAAATTCCTGTGTACTCTCGCTTACTTGTAGATCCTATATTAAATTAACTGTGAATTGATAGCACCTAGCGTTCAGTTTTCTCTGTTTTAATCAGTATTATGTGGTCCAAAAAGCTGCTCTTCTTTTTAAGTATCTCAGTCTCAGCATTCGTGACGGCAAATCAAGCTGTTGAGGATCCTGAATCCTATGTTGAAACTGTTGAGCTGTTAGAAAAGTCTTGAGCTTTGATTGCTGAGTTTTGAGCTTACATCACTTATATCTATCATTTTGATGGCATCATTTTACTGATTATGTAGCATGTAATTTATAGTAGATCTGTAAAGTCAGTGCAACAGGCATAGCTCATTGTTTTAAGGAGTTTAACATTAATTTTATCCATCTATGTCTTGTTCGCATTTACATGGTGATTTCCAAATGTTCTCAAATGAAATCTTTTTTTTTCTAAAGAAAATATCTAATTACAGTTTAGAAGTTTTGTGTGAATACTTTTTTAGGACAGCTGTACTTAACATTTTGAGCAGTTAGACTGGTCATGAAGTACATTTTATTGGGGGTGCAGGTACTTCCATGTCACTTCTTTGAAACTGATTCATTGTTTAAGCATTTCACATTAAAAATAAATAAATAATGATGATGATGATAGTATTATGCACTGACCAAAAATGGAGTGCATCGCAAAGATATTAAAATCCCTACAGCAACCATAAATGTCATAAAAGCACCATCATAAGATGTGAAGAGGGAACTGGTTGGGGCTCAGAGTGTGCGATGGCTGCTTCCTGATTCTCTGGAGCCAGAAACTCTATTAAGCAAATTTCAGTGATGCAGCAGCAGGGAGACTGATGTCATCATCTCACTGTAATTGCATCTCAAGTGTGTGTCTGTTTGGGTCAGAGCAAGTTTTCTGTTTCACAGGTTAACAAACAGTCTGAACCTCTGCAGGAATACTGAACTTTAGTACATACCTTATCTTTGATGATTGTATCTGTGATTTTGTGCATCAAGGCTCTTCATTATATATCTGTTACTGATGTAGTTTCTAGTTTTGGGGAAGATTAAATGCCCTGACTCGTACTACTTTAATACCAGACATGTGTAATAAAATCCCAGTGCTTTCTAAAATAATTCCACCTCAACAGGGAAAAAAATGCTTAATAAGTCAAAGCAGACAGTTCTGACACATCAACTTAAAATATTATGCAAACTAGATCACGGTGTGCATTTTTAAATCTTAGCTGTCAAACAAAATACAAATTTGAAGTCAGTTGCGTATTTCTTTTTTGACTTGTGATCTACTTTGATAGCTGGGAAAGGCCTCAGCCTCCACAAGTCTCTGAACTGGATAAGCTGAAGAGGATGGATGGATGCGTGGATGGATGATTACTTGCTTATGTTTAAATTGCTTAAGCAAAGCCAGTGAGTTATACTAATGAATAGATAAAGTCAGCACTGCAGATCTCCAGTATGGAGCCATGATCTAAAGATTGAAAGAGCTTTTGAAGTGCGACATTAAACGTCTTTCCTGCCTCTGTGTATAAAAACAGACCACAAAATCATCCCGAGCCTGAGCCGCTTCCCCTCAGGCAAAGATATGACATGCATGCATGACTGAAATAGGTGTGAATTGATACATACTCATTCACCCGTCATGCTATTAATAGTACTTGAACACTGCTTCCTGTATTGCAGGAGCTAATGATAATTTGTCTGTGGTTTTGTGTGTGTGCTGCAGGTGGGAAAGGAAACGGTTCAAACTACCGAGGACCAGGTGATGAAGAGAGACATGCCTCCTGCGTTTATTAAGTGAGTCTGCATCTGAAGCACGGTGTGCGTCACTCACAGAAACATCCAGAGAGAAAATTATGAGCAACAAATCCACTTTATCTCAGCGAACAGACAGAGAACTTGTTAAAAAGAGAAAAAAAAAGATTTCAGCCCATTTAACATTAGGAAACGTGGCTGTGTTCCCAGCTACAACAAAGAGCCACTTCTGAGACCGGATCCGAGTGACCGTCCGGCTCCAGCTTCCAGACTGCTGAGAAGCTGTTTGTTGTTTTCCTGCTTGCATCCAAAGAGCTGACATGAACTCCGGGTGCTGGCTGAAAGCAGCTACTCAGCAGTTCTGGGGTTCACAGACCTCGCTGTTTTTGCTTACCCGTATTTGTTGCATTTATGTCCACGCATATTCTACATTTCCAGTAATATCATCTGTCTGTCTCTGCCATATTTTTTTTCATTGCTTGTTTATATATTTTTTCTAATCGTTTTTCAGCTACGTTAAAAAGGTCCAGACCTCAATCAGATCCACATACCACTCTCACAGCTCACTCACACATACATGGGACACTAAACCATAAATCTCACTCACAGGGCTTAGGAGGGAGCATGTGGGAATGTGAACCTACCTAAATATAGATGAACCAGCAGCCATTGATACCCTAACCAATGGGGGTCAGAAAGAGAAGGGACCGGGCTTTATTTGAATGCTCCTAAAAATCTATCGTAATCACTGATCTCTGAAGTAGAAATTTAGGATTGCAAATGAAACCGCCTTTTTTTATTTAAAAAGCAGATTGCAAACTCTGAATTGAAGGTTGCATCATTTGTCTCAAGTCTCCACAGGTTTTAATAAGAAGGCCTTCTCAAATTTTGATCCTTCGAGTGCTAAATAAATACCGGTAGTGAAAAACTCAAAGTGCACAACACGCTGCCTACTGTGTGGGCTGCTTAGCCTGACACCTTGTCAGCCTCACATCTCGCCTGTGTGTTGGTTTGGTTTTCCTTGATGTCTCTCGGGTCTGATGCAGTGTGACTGACTGGTAGGTGTGCGTGTGTTCAGTATGAGTCCTAAGTCTGCTGTGTGTCTTCAGGGTGGAGAATTCATGCTCTAAGCTCGTCCAAGCTGCTCAGATGCTGAAAGCGGATCCCTACTCTGTTCCTGCACGAGATTACCTGATCGATGGATCCAGAGGGATACTGTCCGGAACATCCGACTTGCTCCTTACCTTCGACGAGGCAGAGGTGTGTCTGTTTGTGCATGCCTCCTTACATTTGTGTGTCCTCATAATCACTCTTACTTCAGAGGTGTGGCATCTTTCATGGAAGTAAAGCTTTATATAGCCGTACAGAGGAAGAAGGAACTCAGCTTAGAGCTGTAATGGAGTCTCAGATGCACCCAGATCTAATCACTGAGATCAAATGACTTCCCTCTGTCATAACTCAGGGCGTGTATGCGTGTGTGTGTGTAAGTGTGAGTGTGGTGGATTTGTTTGTGTGTACTCTTGTGCGATTGTTCAATGGCATCTCAATAAGTGGAATCACATTGGGCACGCGATTATGCGCACCATCACTAGCCTCATTTTTGAAAGAGCAGCTTCTCACAGTCACAAGACGTACATCACAAGACTGTACACGCACACAGACACACACAAGCCCACACACACAGACACACACAAAAAACTGAGTAACTTCAGGCTAAAAAAAGCTCCTGCAAAGAAGGAATTTCCTTGTTCTCATATTAAAATGTGGCTTTTGTTTTACGCCTGCATCTGCTTAAGACTGTGTCCGTGCTGTGTTGTAGGTACGTAAGATAATCCGAGTGTGTAAAGGTATCCTGGAGTATCTGGCAGTAGCTGAGGTGGTGGAGACCATGGAAGACCTCATCACATACACCAAGAACCTCGGACCAGGTGAAGTTTTATCCCCACTACTCTGTGAGAAAGTCTTTGTGTGGTTCTTAAAACGTCACTTTAGTAAAGTAAAGATTCACACAGGTTAATTAAAAATAGGAGCCCTGATTCAAAATCTACTGCAACATGTACATTTTTACTCATTTTAATTTATTTAAATAAAGAAATTATAAATGTTATGGAACTGGAAAGAGGTAGGAACTGTCACCAATAAAGCCGAGACTAAGCCGAGACTTACAATATCATATTTAAAGATTGAGGCTTAGAAAATGCAAAAAGTCATTTAAAGGTAGAATTAATCGAGGCAATAACCGTCAGATTCACTGATAATGAAACAGAAGTTATAGTAATAAAGAATGTTTGCTGAATAATTTGTGCAGAGCTGTTATAAACTGTGCTTTTCGGATTAGTTTGCTTCATAAAGCAGAAAACGCGACAACAAACTTTTGTTTTACACGATTCTTTAGTTTAAAGATCCACCTGCCAGCTAAATTAACCGCTGAGTGCTCTTCTGACACTAAAATGCTTTGATTAAGAATCAGAGTCTTTTCACTGACAGGAGAACCATAAACAGGCTATTTATCACCAGAGGCAACAGGTCAATTGTGTTGTCAGTGCAGTGTGGCATAATGAGCTGGAGGAAATTTGATGCCAAACGTTTTCTCCCACTTGACTGATGCCTTCATTGTGTGAGATCAGTCGTTCGTGAAGTTACAATGTTTGTGTTGGAACTGCTTAGTTAGCGTATACACTGGGGGAAGCTTTTAGCCTTTGATTGTTCAAGCATACTTAAAGCAGCGCCAAAACCAAAGTCAATAACATTTTCTTTTTTTTCAGGGATGACCAAAATGTCAAAGATGATAGAGGAGAGGCAGCAGGAGCTGACACACCAAGAGCACAGACAGATGCTAGTCAGCTCCATGAACACTGTCAAAGAGCTGCTGCCCGTTCTTATCTCAGGTGTGTGTTCGTGGCTGCGCATGTGTGGGCTAACGACAGCACAGATCATTGAGCATCCAAGAGTTGTTATAGCAACGCAGATAATTACAGTCATTAAATGCTGGGGATGGGGATGTGAGTGTGACTGCGCGCATACGTCGCCTACAAACATCTCTGCTGCGCTACTCTTATACTCTGCACCAACCAACAGAGAAGAGGAGCACTGTTTCAACTACTTGAATGCACTGAGACTACATGGTCAAGTGTCATAAAATCTGAACTATTTGGCAACTAAAAGAGAGAAAGAAAAATAATCTCTCTCTCTACATATATATGTATATAGATAGATAGATTAAATTAAATTACATTATTGTTTTACCACACCTAAAAAGCATTTCTGAAGCTCTTTAGCATACAGGACATTTGAGCTTATTGATTTGGTTTTACTGCCCCCCATTTGCTGCACTGGTTCAGTCTCATTGAATTCAGGTGTTTTCAGTCCCACTACCACGGGTGTATCAGATCACATGCCAAGCTATGGACTCTGACTTTGCAAACATTTGTGAAAGCATGGATGGTTTTAAAGTGCTCACTAAATTCAAGCTTGGTATTGTAATAAGATGCCACCTTTGCAATAAGGCAGTTTGTGAAAATTCTTCACTTGATATTCCACAGAACCTCAACCACACAGACTCAGACCATGTGCGGGGTGAAAGCTGCCAAACCTCTCTTTACTGATTAACTGCAGAGTTCCAAACCCCCTCTCGCATTAACATCAGCACAAAAACTGTGCGGCAGGAGCTTCGTGGCATGGGTTTCTATGGCTAAGCTCCTCCTGTAGGTTTAATGCAAAGGCGATACTGGTACTTTTGTCCTGTAGTGTATATTGAAATGTATGTAACCACTGGGAGATCACTAACTGGTTTTGGACCACTGTGTTGAGACTTATCCATTGCATTCTTCCCCTTTTTTTTCTTCATGACCATACTGGATAAGAGGGTCAAACTAGGGATTGATCACTTAACTTTGCCAGGTACATCGATATTTTTAAACAATGGATAGTAAAAAAACAAAACAAAAAACCCGACATTAAATCAAATAAGATACCTGAGAAGATGAAAATGAAAAATGTTTGTCTATGGGTCTACACTTGCTTTTAGAGCCAGTAGCATTATTAGATAATTATTATAAAATAACAATTATAATAGTATTACAGATGCTGAAGACTATTTAAGATTTTAATCCCCATCCTTTAAAAGTTGGTAGATATGAAAAATAATGCCTATAAAGAGAGAAAATACTAAACTTGCATTAATCACCATCAGTCCAAGCATGTTAGTGCTGCCACAAAGGTCATTTAAAATCAGCATATTAAAAGCTTTTATTTTTTAAAGTGGGTCATTTCTATTTGCCACAATAGATTCTTAAGTTAAATGAGCACTTCATCTTAAGTTGAATATGTCGTCCTACCTGAGTTTAAACATAAATACTGTTATTTCTTTCCTCATCAGCTATAAAGATTTTTGTCGCAACGAAGAGTAGTCGAGGTGCCGGGGTTGAGGAGGCAGAGAGAAACCGAAGGTTCACTTTTGAAAAGATGAGCGCTGAAATTAATGAGATCATAAGAGTCCTGCAGCTCACCACGTGGGATGAAGACGCCTGGGCCAATAAGGTACAACCTGTGCTGCATTTAAAGACTCTGATTTTTCTCATTTTACCCCACAAACCTAAAAAAAACCCACAAAATAATCCCCACATACCTAAATCAGATTTCACTGGCGTGCCTGCTTGCATACATACAGCCTCACTGAGCTGCATCTCTGAAAAAAAAATCACTCTTCACTTTCTGTCACTTTTTTCTTTTTGCTCGCTAGTATAACTCCTGGTTTTTCCTTTTTTTTCCTTTCCTTTCTGTACCTTCCTCCTCCATTCTTTTCCTCCCTGTAGAAGGTAAGCCTGTTTCTCTCCCCATCAGCGGTTTCCAGCATGCAAGCGTGTATGTGTGTGAGAGATAAGGAGACACAATATGTCCTCATGCTTACATTATTATTATTATCTATCATGCTGGTATTTGACAGTAAGTGTTTTGTGTTTCAGTCCACTGACTGTTGGCTGATGTGTGATGTACAGCACACATACTTCATCACTTTATTGTCATATGTGCATATCTGTTTGTCTCCAGACGTCCATTCGAGTCAAACGGCCTGAAACAGAGGTTTCTCAGCTCGGTTATTTATTTTAACACCTGTCTTCAGTCATGGTATTTTTTCTGGTGTATCGTCTCGTGTTTACGCTGTCAAAGATCGACCATCGTAGCACAATAAGACGCTGTTTTTGGCTGCATATACATGCTTGGAAAAAGTAATTTTTGGGCATCAGTTAGAGATTGTGCATTGAGATAATTTAAGCCAAAGTTAAGCACTGTTTCACTCGTCTAACCTGTAACTCTGCATGTTTCTCTCTGCACACAGCCTCCTTTGATAATGATCTGTCTGTTTGTGTCTGTACCGCTGTGTATGAGCTGTGATAAGCACTTACTGTCAGTTTGTGAGAGAAACCGCTGGCAAGCCATGTCTGCCGTCCTCTCGGGTCATGAATTATAGAAATAAGCTGGTTGGTGTCCAGATCCATCCATAATAGATGGGCTGTATTGAACGGTTCCACTTAAGAGGTTCATTCTTCTCTGAACTGGAAAAAACATTTTTTTTCTCCTTTCTGGTTGAAGCACTGAAAGAGTCTGTCACATTTTAGATTAAGTCACTTAGTCTTATTTTCTCCTTTATAATAAGGAATTATTTTTAGCAAGACATTGTAAAAAGTGGTGATTTCTGTGTAAAACATAGAACCCATTTTACAGCATGAAATTAATAATGTAATACGACTTCATTGACTAATATTAATAAAACCAATTTTGTGCTGTTAGTGCCCACATTTAAGACTTCATAGCTTGCAGGCCACCATCCATTTAATCGTGGATAAACCAAAATATAGGTTTTATATGAGGCAGTTTTAATGTATACATCTATGTGTTGAACTTTCCCACAACAAAATAGCCTTTACAAATGTGAGCCAAGCAACCAAGTCCAGCTTTACACTGGAAATTAAAGTCTCACAGTTAGAAAAAATCTAAAAATCAGAAAGCTACACTGCTGGTAATACCGTTCCCCATTACAGTGAACATTGGATTTAAAGTTTATTTTGTTAGTCCTATACACTTCATCAGTCTTGTGTACACCATCCTCAACCCATAAATACTGACAACAGATTTAGATGTGCCCGAGTTTCCGTAAAGATAGCAATTATGACAACAAATAATCTGTAAAACTGTAACTACTTATAAAAAGTGTCTTTTTTTCTGTAATGAAAGCAATATATTTGTCTTTAACACATCTCTTCTCTTTACTTCAGGATATGGAGGCCCTGAAGAGATCTCTGGCTTTGATTGAGTCAAAGATGGCACAAGCTAAAAGCTGGCTCAAAGACCCTCACGGACAGCCAGGTGGCTGTTTGTTTCTTATCTATTGTGGCTTCAGCTAAAAACACCTAATCGTCAAACGTGAATGTCATGCCATGGCGGTCTGTCGTTTCCAGGAGACCTCGGTGAGGTGGCCCTGCGTGCAATACTGGACGAAGCTGGTAAGGTGGGAGAGCTGTGTGCTGGGAAGGAGAGGAAAGACATACTGGCGACCACTAAGGCTCTGGGACAAATGACTGACCAGGTCACAGATCTACGAGCTAGGTAGGGTTTTTCTGCAAGAACGTGTGAGTTAAACAGTTTTCCATCCTCTGTCCATGGTGTGCGATTAGGTGCGCATTTGAATTGTGTATTCAGCTGTCAAGCCTCGGCTGAGTGTCTTTGTTGTTCTTAACAGAGGCCAAGGCCCGACCCCGGGGTGTGTGCAGCGTGCCGGCCAGTGCTCGCAGGGCTTAGACTTGTTATTTGGCAAAGTGGACAGTGCTGCTCGCAGACTGGAGGCTCTAATCAATGCCAAACAGGCTATTGCCAGGAGGCTGGATGCTGCACAGGTCAGATAGAACAACAATAATATCAGAATGAGCTACACTAACCAGGGAACTGCTTTATTCCAGCAAATCCGACTCTCTACTTCTCTAATCCTTTTCCAAGCAAGTGTTGCAGTTAATACTTTACAAATTCTCTCAGAATTATTATTGTTTAAAAGAGAGACCCCACTGGGTAAAATCTTCACTAGTAAATAGCCCCTTCACATGGTAGAAGCTCTACTGTGAGACATGTGTCAAAAGATGTACTTATTTCATATGTCATACTGCACATGTGCATATTTAGGCATGGCTGGCTGATCCTCACGGCGGTCCCGAGGGGGAGGAGAACATCAGAGCGCTCCTTGCAGAAGCCAAACGCATCGCCGATCTATGCGAAGACCCCAAAGAGAGGGATGACATCCTGCGTTCCATAAGTGAGATCGCAGGACTCACTGCCAGGCTTATGGAGCTACGCAGACAGTACGGTTTCACCTCACATTTCTCATGCTCGATGACACGTGCATTGTGAAAACTATACGTAATACTTAGACACTCTTTCCATAGGCTCAAACTGCAACCCCATGCCACCAATAGGTGGCATATTTTACCCACCTGGAAAGTATGTTGTTGCCTGTCAACCTTGGGCATGAGTCCTCCAAAAAGGTTTTAAACTGTTTGAATACGGTGTCACGGTGTTTTTGTGGAGGGGAATTTAAAGGGAAATATCACTTAACTAAACAACAGTCTTTAATCCAAATGCTTCTATAGCTCAGTGGATGATGGCGAAGATGATGATGAAGATTAGTTGCTTTTAGGAACATAACTGTAATGGTCTTCTGCTGCATTTATTGAGCATAAAGCAAATTCAACTTCAAACACTGAACAAATTACCTAGATATGCTCTAATTAATACTGATCTGCACTTTGAAGGTAAAAAATGTAGAAAATGTGGCTATGATTTCCGCATTTGGAACAGATAGTACTTTTACAATGTGTAATTTAGTAGAGATATTATCACTGTATTATGGTATCCTGTCAAAACGGCTGTGCAAGGTCATAAAAAGAGAATCTGACTTTGTTCTTCTTTTCTTAGAAGAATGATAAAGGCATTTCTTAAACGGTGCCCTGAATTATTGTCCTGACCAGAACTTGTAGTTTTATGTCTAATAATCTGGACATACACATATAGAAATGTTTTGTCTTTATTTCTACTACACAAAAAAGCAATGTTAGGCTTTAAAAGTGGTATTTCTCTTTTTTGGTGGTATCTAACAGGGGTGTAGTGTTATTTTATAGTCTATATTAAGTCTTTTATGCTTTTTTGTCTCTCCCTCAAGTTGTCTATCTTTGTTACTGTCTCAGGGGTAAAGGTGACAGTCCTGAGGCCCGTGCACTCGCTAAGCAGATTGGGGCGGCGCTACTGACCCTGCAGTCTAAAACCAACCGCGCCGTAGCCAACATGAGACCAGCCAAGCCTGCAGTAACCTTGGAGGGCAAGATGGAGCAGGCCCTCCGTTGGGTGAACAACCCTGGAGTGGACGACAGAGGAGTAGGTAAGTGGTGCTGGATGACTGCTCTAGGGAGTGATGATGCAGTAGTTTGTCTCAAAAATAAACACCCTGACCTTCCAGCGCATTTTGTGCATCTCTGTGGATGATGGACGGATTGTAAAAGAAACCAGACACCAAGTGAATATCGCTCTTTGGGGATGTTAGCCATTTGTGATCAGTGAGGTAACTGTGAAATTACTCAGGCAGGAAATGTGATTGCGTGGCACAGAAATGACTGTGCTGTTTCCTTAAATGCCCACAATGATGCATTTTGTGCATCACTGATTGACTAACTTGACTAGTTTAGTCATTCAGGGACTCTTGTATTGTTTTCATGCTTTGTTATTGCAGTCTTCCTGCTTTGTCATTTGATTGTTTCCTATTTCGTCCCATGCTTCTGTATGGGAGCAGAGTGTGAGATGCTACAGTGGAACACAGGTATCTCTCTATGAAGCTTTCTTAGAAGACATAACCAAACATGTTATTATTAGTAACATTATTAACTTCCTGGAAACTATATAATGTTAGCATTTACTGCAAACTATAGCTTCCTACTATTGATGTTGCAAGAAATGACATCACTTCTCACTTTGTATTTTTAGTCCCTGTGACCAACAAAAAGAAAAAAGAAAAAGCGATACTTCTATATCTGAATATGGGTTGTTATTGAGGTATCTAGAGCATGACTTCTACCCTGTGTTACTCTCTAGGTCAGGCAGCAATCAGAGGAATGGTCGGGGAAGGGAGGAGGCTGGCAGGAGGCCTGTTAGGCCCGTATCGTCAGGATATGATTGGGCGCTGTGACCGAACAGAGGCTCTGATGACATCCTTGGCAGACATGGCTGGCAGGGGAGAGGCTGAGGCTCCTCATGCACGCGCTACAGCTGCACAGCTGCAGGACACCCTTAAGGTATCTCACAAGCATGCACATTTAGTCTATAAATAGATTAATGCAGAAACACAACCTCCCCTGTAATCATATGTAAACAAGTTTCCAAATACACAAAATATACCTGACTAAAAATCATGGAAAAGGGGAAAATGCACGATGGCTAGAATATTTCTGTTTGATCCAAAGGTGCAGCCAATATAACAAAAGCATGGGGAGTGAGGATGCATAGTGTGAGACTCAGTAATGTTGATTTCATTGAAAGTGCTGGTGCAGAGCTCCCCCTGGTGGATTTATGCATCAATCTCTGCTTCATCCAGGACCTGAGGCAGCGCATGCAGGAGGTGATGACCCAGGAGGTGTCTGATGTTTTCAGTGACACCACCACACCTATCAAACTGCTGGCTGTGGCTGCAACTGCACCTCCCGATGCACCAAACAGAGAAGAGGTCAGTAATGCACAAAACACAGCACCAATAACACATCCCATTCACCTGTTTCCACTAATAGACACCATGGCTCAGCTGTGTGGTGTGGGAGGTTGATTATGTCTACATTTTGACTGAAGTGCTGCTAATGTTTGTGAAAGGTTTTTGAAGAGCGCGCAGGGAACTTTGAGACCCACGCGGGTCGGCTGGGGGCAACGGCAGAGAAGGCTGCTGCTGTGGGAACAGCCAATAAGACTACAGTAGAAGGCATCCATGCTGCTGTGAAACATGCAAGGGAGCTCACACCACAGGTACTTCTGTTTGATTTGGCCGCCCCTGATTTGCATGATCACGTATCAAGATAAAACCTGTAGGTGTTATATACAGTCTGAGCGTGACTTGTTTACTTTTTTGTTTGTTTTCACATCCAGGTAACGTCTGCCGCTCGGATCTTGTTGAAGAACCCTGGGAACAAAGCGGCGTATGAACACTTTGACACCATGAAGAACCAGTGGATCGACAATGTGGAGAGACTCACCGGTGTGGATTTTCTCAGCATTTCTCGTGCTGCTTAAAATATTACCTTGCTGCACATGAGAGAGGATTTACAGAGGCGTGCTTATCTGTGTTTTCTCTCCCAGGTCTAGTGGATGAAGCTATCGACACCAAATCTCTGCTAGATGCGTCTGAGGAGGCGATAAAGAAAGACATCGACAAGTGCAGAGTTGCCATGGCAAATGTTCAGCCCCAAATGCTTGTTGCCGGGGCAACAAGCATAGCAAGGAGAGCTAATCGGGTCCTGTTGGTGGCTAAGAGGGAAGTTGAGAACTCTGAAGACCCACGATTCAGAGACACTGTGAAACACGCTTCAGACATCCTCTCGCACACCATCTCGCCTATGGTGATGGACGCCAAGGCGGTGGCAGGGAACATCCAAGATAAAGGTACAGGAGAAAAACATGTTTAATATAATGAGTGATAAAGAATGACTCAGGTTTATTTACCATGTTTTCGCTGTTTGTTCCAAAGCTCTGCAGAAAGCCTACTTGGACTCGTGTCTGAGGATCCTGGCTGCAGTCGGAAAAGTTAGAGAAGCCTTTCAGCCTCAGGAGCCGGACTTCCCTCCTCCACCTCCTGACTTGGATCAGCTCCATGTAAGCACATTCAAACACACATAACACACTTTATTCCCACAGTAGACTTTAGCAGTAGTAGTTAAACTATTAAACTGGGATTCCAGTGTTTTAGGGAAATATATCAGTCTTCCTTTATGTGGGATTAACAAACTTTCTGAAACAGGGTCTTCACATTGCTCATGAGTGGGTTACGACAGCCAAGAATATTTTTTCTATGATTTAAATTTGATTGTCTCCATTTATTTTAGACCTAGATATAATATTGTTTGTCCCGACTTGATAAAAATACTCATTTCTGATATGTACTCTGGTTCTGCTGGAGGTTTCTTCCTGTTAAAAATGAGTTTTTCCTTCTGGCTGTTGCCAAGTGCTTGCTCATAGAGTCCTCTGATTGTTGGAGTTTTCTTTGTATTATTGTAGGGATTCACCTTACAATATAAAGCACATCGAGGAAACTGTTCTTATGAATTTTATATCAATAAAACTGAATTTAAATATACTTGTGAATCACATATTGTTATGCATGGTGGTCAGACCCAAGCAATTTAGGATCAAACAGCAGTATGATGGAATAACGTCTATGAATTATTATGAACTACCTGTATGTGTGTTTTCAGGTTAGTGATGAGCAGGCCCCACCCAAACCTCCATTACCAGAGGGGGAAGTGCCTCCGCCTCGGCCTCCTCCTCCAGAGGAAAAGGACGAGGAGTTCCCGGAGCAGAAAGCTGGAGAGGTGCTCAGCGAGCCCATGATGGTGGCAGCCAGGCAGCTGCACGATGAGGCGCGCAAGTGGTCAAGCAAGGTCAGTTCACACAAACACGCATATTTGCATATTTAGCCAAACATCTGTGTATAATTTTAAAGTCATGATTTCTAGTTAGTTGCTGGCTAGTTGTCTAAAGAAAAAAAAAGTCCCATCTGTGGATGGGGGGGAACCGGAAACTGTCATCTGTTTAAAGTGTCAGCATGTGACTTTGTTCACGGTGTACACGTGCACACTCAACATGCACGAAGTGAATATGAGATATTGCAGTGAGAAATCCCAGCCTCAAATCTATATTACAAAAGCTCACTCCACTTACAGCAGACGTTATCTACTTCGTCTTTCCTCATATCTCTGTGGCTGTCAATGTTCCGTGTGTGTGTGTGTGTGTGTGTGTGTGTGTGTGTGTGTGTGTGTGTGTAAAAGAACTGTACACAGGAACAGCTAATCTGTATAAATAACTAGGAGTAATGCCCTCTTGCTATCTTTGTGGAGCTGATAACCATTTTCCCCTTAATGGCGCCGCTAACAGTTTTTCCACAGATGTTTTGTGTGTCTTTTAAAAACTATCCACAAACATCCAGACATCTCTGGTGTTTGGTCACACTCAGTTTGCCAACTCAGCACTAGACCTTGTTTGATTATGCAAATAGGTTATAAACTCTCAGCTCAGCCACCGCCTCAGAGTAAGGCACATCATCCACCCGCTGCCTTCCCAAACCAGCTCCTCTTTCGTTTTAATTTCCCCCCATCTAAATCGTCTGTGCCTATGTGTGCAGTTTCACCTCCCCTGTCCCTGCACCTTCACCTTGCTTGAATACGCTCCTCCTTCCTCCTGTAAATCTCCTGTCCTTTATTCTTCCACCCAGTGCCTCTCATACTATACTAAATGCCTCCTTTTCCCATGCTTCCTTCCCTCCTGCTATCCCTGGCTTTCCACTCCCCTCTTCTTCTCCACATTCCTCCTTTTTTTCCTCCTCCTCCCACCCCTTTTGCCTCCCTCCCTTTCCTTCCCATCCCCATCAATCCTCCAACCACCACCAACAAACCCCCCCACTGCCTGGCCCAGCCTGAAGATGAGGAGGCAGTAGAGGAGAGGGAGGTAGATGATGAAGATGAGTTTACTGATGGTGAGGATGACTATGAGCCAGAGCTGCTGCTGATGCCATCCAACCAGCCTGTCAATCAACCCATTCTGGCAGCTGCCCAGTCTCTCCACCAGGAGGCGCGCAAGTGGTCCAGCAAGGTCTGCGCACATACATGCACATGAGCGCACACACAACCACATGTGGATCAAACAGTATGTGTAAAAGGCTCTAAGTGTTTTGGGTACTGTTTGACCCACGCACGCACACGTGCACGTACACCCACGCATGCAAAAAGATAAATGCACAACACAAGGAAAGCCCCGCAGGACAGGAAACACCCACCGGGGGCTGTCTGAACACTGAGCTCTGCATCTGCCACTACCAATGGAAAACTCCAACCAGCTGCAGCTGCTGTTTTACTCTTGTTGCATTATTTTCAGACCTGGTTACACAAATGGTAATGCTGATGCCATGCAATGGTTGCACAAAACGTTGAGGACTGTGGGAATGTCAGGTTTGATTGTTGCACCACGTGGATAAACTGGTACTGGCTTCACAAGTCCTTAAGCTCATGTTTGGGTAAAGCGGTTCAAAGGAGGAGGCAGACGCTCTGTCTCATCATTGCCTCTGTTGTCAGACTTTCATTGTCTGGCCAACCTGTGAAGCCAAGGATGACAGTTTCCCAAAGACTTCTGGGTGATTTATATATGACATTAGATTGCCTGCTTACCCACTCTGGTCACCTGCTTCTGCTTTTTAGCCCCTATTATTAATCACTTTAACATTACCTCATGTGTACTAACTTCAGGTTGACTCTAATATCACAAAGAAAATGAAAATCTCAATTAAAAATCGTGTTAAACATGCTTGCATTTAATTTTAATTCAAATGTTATAATACAAAACACTAGAATTTTAATGTCTGGTTTCCCAAAACCATATTTCTCTGTTAACAGCTTTAACTGCTTCCTCCTTTTCTACATCCCCATTCTTCAACAGGGTAATGACATCATAGCCGCAGCCAAGCGGATGGCTCTGCTGATGGCAGAAATGTCTCGGCTGGTGCGTGGTGGAAGCGGGAACAAACGAGCACTGATCCAGTGCGCTAAGGACATCGCCAAGGCCTCGGATGAGGTGACAAGACTGGCAAAAGAAGTGGCCAAACAGTGCACTGACAGACGCATCAGAACGAACCTGCTGCAGGTGAGGATTTGCATAGACACAAGCGCACTCTGTCTTCAACGGGAAACATCTAACATCTGTTCTTCCTGCCAAAGGTCTGTGAACGAATCCCTACCATCAGTACTCAGCTGAAGATCCTCTCTACTGTCAAAGCCACCATGCTGGGACGGACAAACATTAGTGAAGAGGAGTCAGAGCAGGTAAACGCACAACAAAGCACATACAGTTGTGGTCAGAAATTTAAATTCACCCGTCATGGGCATGAATGTCATGGTATTTTAATGATTTCTTTGAGCTGTTCTTTTCCCAGAGTGGAGTGATTGTGCAGCATACATATTTAATGACTTTAATAAGCAAGAACTTGTGCACAAGTTTGAATTTATGAAGGATTTTCTCTCATCCACATAAGGTCAAAAGTGTACATACAGGCTGAAATATATACATACCCTACCTACTAATGTTTGTTTAATGTCACTTAGCAAGTTGCAGCTTGATCAAATGCATTTGGTAATCATCATCAAACTTCTGGTATCATTTTTGGCTCTCTTCTTGGCAGAATTGGTGAAGTTCATTTAAATTGATTGGTTTCCAGGCATGGACCTGACTTTTAAGTGTAATCCGCAAATGTTTAGTAGGGTTGCAGTCAGGGCTTGATGTTAGCCTTGAGGTTTACTCATTTTAAACTAGTTTTGATGTGATTTTGGAATCATTGTCCTGTTGGAACATCCAGCTGCGTCCAAGTTTCATCTAGATGTTAGTTTGAATTGAAGCTGAAGAATTTAGGGGTAGCCCTCCTTCTTAATTATTTCATCCACTGTCCACTGTATTTGGCAGTAAAACAAGCCCAATAACATGCTACAACTACCATGATGCTTGACAGTTGGTACAGTGTTCTTAGATTTGAAAGCCTCACCTTCAGTTTTTCCAATCACACCTTTAATCACCTCGTTTCACTGTGCACAGTAACACTGGTGTTCCAGCAGTTTCCAGTTCACGGCAGGCCTGAACCTTGGAGATTCCTGGGTTGTTCCTGAACGGTGACAGTTTGGGTTGTTTCTGTTATTACAGTAAATGTATAATATGGCAATCTCTAAGCTGACAGGCAAGAGAAAAAATAGGAAAGAAAGAAAAAGGAACAGTGGAAAAAATGGGACAAAGTACAATAAAAGGATAGAGCACAAATAGAAAAGCACAAATGTTGCGCCTGTAAGAAAAAAAACACCTGGAACAGCAAAATGTTAAAAAGCACAGAGACACAAATCAACAATCTTCTTTTGTTTTGTGTCAGTGTTTGTGTCTTTGTCACGTCTTGCTTTTTAAAGATGTACGTTGTACAATTATTTCACCCTGCAACAGTTCAAAGAAATAATTAAAAAGCTCAAAATCAAGATGACATTTGTAAGTAAACTTCTCACCCCAACTGTACCTCACAGTGATGCACAATCCAACCTTTTTTTCTATTATTATCCATAAACTCAGCATCTGCAGAAAGCAAAGTGCTATTTCAATGCCGTAGCTGTCTTTTCAAACTTGAAAAGCTCTACTACACACTGCAGTCCCTGTTATTACACTAAAAGCTGAGTTGGTAGTCTGGCATTACTGAACAAATGTAACTGATGGGACACTTAATTTTTTTTTTTTAAATCTGCATTTAAGGTGGATTAGTCATGTCATGGCCAAAATTTGTGACAGATCTTTAAGCTGTTATTTTACTGCTTTGTTTGCCTCACCAGGCCACAGAGATGTTGGTCCATAACGCCCAGAATCTGATGCAGTCCGTGAAGGAGACGGTCAGAGAAGCAGAAGCAGCCTCCATCAAGATCCGCACCGATGCGGGCTTCACCCTCCGATGGGTGCGGAAGACCCCCTGGTACCAATAATCATACCTGGTCGCTGACATGGATGATGCTCTTTCTTTAAAACTTTGCTTCAATAGCACAAACCTCGAGTAAAGTAGCAATGTGCATATGCATTAAGCGTAAGCATGTGCACTTCAAGAGGAAGCTGCGGGATTTTGAGCCATTCTCCACTGTAGTTTGGGTGTTTGCACCAGGAAGCATTAGATCTGGTCCCATGCAGGTTTCTTTTAATGGCGTGAGCGGAATCGCACAGGTATATCGGAGACAGTTTTTTAAAGTATATTTTTGGTATGTTGTGTTACAAGACTTTATCCAAAGTTCAGGTATATATTTTTTGCATGAAAATGTTTTCTATTTTCTAAAGGCGAATTATGACACTAAAATGCTCCCAGAGGACGTTTACTTTGCATTCAGTTTTTTTCAGTGAGTTTCTTACTGTCTATTGTACATACAATAATTGTTTGTTTTATGAAAGATTTTTAGCTTTATTCACTCAGTTTGACTCTAAAGTCGGGAGTAGTGGAGCGAGCTGAGGCGCTCACTTTCCTTCCTGTTTACTTTTTAACAATAAAGGTTCTTTACTAAAGATCTACAAATTCAGAAGTTCTAGCATCATCACTTCAATGATTTTATACTTGAAGGACTTAAAGGTGTTATGAATACAAGTGAGACAGTTTTAAAGCAATTATATGATTAGAATAAAATATATGGTTGTTAGTGACTATGTTGTTTCTTGGGAGGTTGACACTACAGCTCACGGGTTTTCACTTGACAGCAGCAGTATGTGTGACATTGAAGTCAAAGTCAAGCTTAACTGATATATTTTTAATGTGCGTTTTCAGTTCTGTGTTTTCATTTTAGTTGAACTTCCACAGTGATCAATGCCAAAGGATTTGTTTTACATTACTGTGAGCTTCTAAACACTCAAACTCCAGGTTACTGCAGACAGTGCCGTCCTCTGTAGAGGACCCGGAGTGCTTTTTTTAAGGTCTGTTTATTTTTAGCCAAAATATATGAATGTTTTACTCTGCTTTGCATTTTTTTTGTAATCTATTTGTAGTGCTGCACTGTACTGCACTCTTTGTAACAGTTGAACTGTTTGGAAATTTTAGCAAAGCTGATGATTTTAGGCAGCATCCTTTTATTGTTTGGGTGTTTATTTTTTAGATATCCAGATTATCCCTCTGTCTGAGCTCAGTAGTCCCACGTTAAATGCTCTAAAGCATCATCTGAAAAATCCATTTGTTTCCTTTTTTAGATGACCCCGGTGGTTTGAAAACAAGACAACTCTTTTTATCAGGCAATATTGTCAGCCTAGCAACGTAGATTTTATTTTTAGGTTAACACTAAAATATATTTAAAATGAGTTTGTTGTCATCTAGGATTAAACATATTTTTACATTAATACATGCAGTCAGTCAGCAAATTCATATTTTTATTTCCCTTAATTTAACAGTGGAGAATTTGTATGCACCTGTATGTGAAGTCTTTTCGTTTAAGCAGTAGTAGTGAGCAGTCCAAATGACACTAATGGACAAGGCTCTGGATTGCAGCACAGAATGTTAACCGCATTTTCACTTTTATTTGGGCCTACTGAGCATGTAGCAGCACTGACTATTCACTGAGAGCGACACAATGTAGATCTGCGTGTGTACCTGATGTGTTCATTCACACCCAGAATGTATACTGATAGCTTCTAGCCCTGCCAACACATCTGCTGTGCCTTGGAAGAAGAATAAAAGACTATAATGATGACTGGACTTGGCCTCTTGTTCTCTGTTCTAAGTATTAGAAAAACTCATGACCACACATAACAACGTCTAGGGTTTACAGAGAATGGTCTGAAAGAAATACCAGGAAAGAGTCAGGCTCATCAAACCAGGTCCCTTGTTGTCCAGTTTGGCTGAGAATGTGTGAATTGTAGCCTCTGTTTCCTGTTCTAGGCTGACAGAATTGACTCCTGGTGTGGTTTTCTGCAGTGGTAGTCAATCTGCTTCAAGGTTTGGCATGTTGTGTATTCAGACTTGCTCGTCTGCATACCTTGGTTGCAACAAAAGCTTGTTTGAGTTCCTGTTGCCTTCCTGTAAGGTTGAAGTAGTCCAACCATTCTCTGACCTCTGAAAGCAATAAGGCATTTGCAACCACAGAAATGACACTCACTGGATATTTTCTGTCCTTCAGGCCATTCTCAGTAAACCTCAGTTGCATACACCAGCATCTATGCCACATTCAAAGTCACTTAAATCACTTTTCTTCTGATGCTTAGTTTGAACTTCAGCAGGTCATATCAGTCACATCTACATGCCTAAATGCAGTGAGTTGCTTTGGTGTGATTGGCTAATTTCATATGTGCATTAACAAGCAGTTGGACTGATGTACCTAATAAAATGTCCAGTGAATTTACATCCAAAAGACAGAACACACTGGTGAGGTTAGCAACAATGAAAGTCCTCAGGTCCACTGAAGAGGAACAACAAAAAACAAAAACAAAACATTAATCAGCCTCAAGACCTGAAAGGTTTGATTAAATTCATGCAATAATTTGTCTATTGAAATATGTGCCCCTAAAAATTGGGGCTACACAAATCCCTACATTTATGTTCAACCTATTCAATTCTGAACTTCTTTAACTGTCTCACTGAGGTGGTCAGAGGAGTAAAATTAATGAAATCTGCGTTACTATCCAATTTTTGAAACCAGAAAAAGGGTGAAAAAACCCAACCACTCAGCTTTCATTTTAGAGTTTTTATAAGACATCTTATAAACTGAAATACAGATTCAACTTCATACAAGAGCATTAAGTAGTATTTCCCACATAAACAATTGATTGTGCAAATGCTGTGCTGAGTAAAGAAGCTGGAATTGAGGTTATTTGAGGATCTTGTGGACTCCGATAACCCGTCTGAGTCACTGATCATCAAACGATGACCACCACACAAGTCTTCACCACACTTGAATGGAGGATATACATTTTTTTGTTTTAATTTCCTCTGGCATCCAAAACATGACGTTTTGTGCTATAAGAAGCATCAGAAGCTCCTCCAAAAAGGCCACATAAGAGAGGGAGTGCAAAACACCAGCAGGGCGTGAAGACACTGCAGCTGCTTAGAAAGTAGATAAAGAGTTTTCATCTTTCAAAAATAAAAATATCTTTATAAAACTGACTAACGAAAAAAAAAAAAGTTTTCAAAGGCAGGTCGGTTTATTCTCAGGCAACATGCAGGCAACTTAATTTAGGTGCAGAGGTGCAGTGGTGAGCGTGGCAGTGAGCTGTAAATCTCCTTTTTCAAACCAAAATATTCCCCTTAGGCAACACTCAAAATGTGTTGGATTTTAAAAAATTAAAAGACAGAAAGGAACGAGTCACATTCAAACTGGATAGAAACTAATAGCACTTCAATTAAGTCACGCTGATTATTAAGGCTTCCCTTTGCAAGCTGCAAAAACCATCAGTTCATACAAATATGATGCTAAACAAAATAAATAACCTAAAAAAATGCAGAATTGTTCATTAATTACAATGAGCAGGTGGATATGTAAGACTTATTGGATAGTTGAGTCAGCGGCGCGGCAAACTTCTATTTGGCATGTTGGATTGCTGACCTCTGACAGTAACTGCTCAGGTCCTCACTTGGAATTTGCCCGCTTTAGTCACATATTTGACACCTTTAAATGGCTTGTACGTCTCTCCGTACATGTCGAGACGGCTCACTTTAAGACCTGCACAGAGGAGGAGAGCAGTGTAATATAAATCAAGGAAGATAAATAACAGGGCTGAAGGGATCGACGGTTTTAAATTTCAAACTTGACTGAAGTCATGCTTTGATAGATTACCTGATATGGCCAGCTGCTGGATCTTTAGGTCAATATTGAGTGAGGGGTTCTCTTCAGGGTTAGGCACTCCTGTCTGCATACTCAGACTGCCTCGCAAGTTGGGAAGCTTCTGGGGGTTAAGCTTACCAATGTCCCAAACCAACAACTATCAAAAGAGGAAAAATAAATGCTTTTTATTCATTTTAGTGTCTCCAAAACATCCACAACTGGACCAGGACAGGACCTTCTCAGGCTTTTGGTGACTGATATTCAGCACACCTGTGTGCAGGTTTGTAGTAAAGCAAAAGGCATCTTAACTGCTCGCTTAGCTCACTCCTGCTGTGTTACTGCTCATGACAGCCTTTGTGGTGGCTGGTTACCTTTGTAGTGAAGTCATAGGTGTAGTTTCCCTGTGAGGCTGTGAGGTTGGCATTAAGCACAGCCTTGGGCATGTGGACAGTGACTTTCAGGTCCTCCACTGTCTTCCCCATAGTTTGCTTGGGTCCAATGGTGATGTCGAGGCGACCGCAAGATCCTGCCTCAAAGAAACTGATGCTCTGCTTCACATACACTGGAATAGCTACAAGACTGAGGAAGGACATAAAAAAAAAAAACCAATGGCTACAATAAACCTGAATGATTGGTGGTGTGAATGTTCTTATTTAAGTCAATTAAATCTGAATTATTTCATCTCCAAGTGAGAAATGATGCCCACGCTTACTTTTGAGAGCTGATGTGATAGGTCATGAGCGTGAAGTTTCCATCCGGTGGGATGAACGACAGGACACGCTCCGACTCCCAGCGCCTGAACCGCACGCATGGGTGGAAACTCACGTCATCAAGAAGCCGAGGATTCTGTCATCAACAGCAAGAAGTGTTAAAAAAGCAAAGCACTGACGGTTAGGCATAAAAGACTGAGAGGAAGTTACCCCACCATAAAGGACATCGTCAGGTCAGGCATCCCACTGAGTTTCACACAGGCTTCAATTACACCCTGGATCTCTGCAGATACTGTCGTACCTGGAAAAGGAGGAGCGATAAATCTCACCTATGAAACCTTACATGAAGAAAAGGGACTTCAAAATATCCAGCAATATAATATGTGCTGATCAAATACAAATAAGTGTCAGTTTGTACCGGATTTGTCCACAATGGCGTCTATCTCTTCTGTCACATCAAAATACGCCTCATTATTGGTGTATTTGACACCAGCCCGCCTCCATGGGATGTTTGACAGCTGACCTTGTGGCAATGTTTCTCCAACATTACTACCTCCTGAAAAAGAAACAAAACCAAGGTGAAGCCACAAATGTACACATTAACACTGCAGAGTTTACTTGTACTTTAGTTTAGAGGTTGGTAAACACTCCAAAGTCAGGGTGACCTCCAGTTACCTGTTAGCGTGTTGACGACTGATCGCAGGATGTTGGGAGGCCTGATCATCTCCTTGAGGACGTTGGACTCTGTTGCTAGTGGAAATCCATTGTCCAGCATCTCCTCCAACAGCTCATAAACTATCACCACGTTGTCACTGATCACACTTTCGGAGCACTCTCCAAAGTAGTCCTGTCAACAAAGCTGCCCGTTACACCAAAGCCAAAAGTTTATGTAGATGTTTTTCAAGCACTTATACACAAGCAAGCCATCTGGGGCCCATCAGAGATGTATCCGTATGGATGTTCATATTAGACGATGCCACTGTTCTCCGCATCATCTACAGCACAAGGACCAGGACCAAGGCCATAAAAAGTCAACCAATCGGACCACTCTCTCCATGACCAATAGGATCATGATCATCTTTCAGCAGGATAGAAGTGGTATGCATGGTATAAGTGGTAACATGTGTAACAACACAATATTTCACAACTTTTGCTGTTTCACAAAGTCCTTTATCGTTTTGTGTAAGCAAAATCTATCAACATTGAGAATCTTATGTAAACAACTTTGCTGGATGGGTTGGATTCAACACTTCAAGAGCAGGAATTTGGTGAAACTGATAAGTTGTTAAGTGTGCATGAAGGTTATAGTGTGAAAATCTGGAAAATGTGGTGATAAATCAACAAACAACCTCGATCTTTAACACAGGATGGATGAAGTCCCATTAAGTGCTCGCTCGGTACAAGCTTCACTTAAATCTGACCAATACTGATGGAGTAGTAACGATTCTTATGGTTGGTGGACAGAGGGGCAAATGTACAAGCCCCATGACTCCTTAGGCTGGATGAGCCAAAAATGTAATTATTATATTTTTATATACCTCCTTTAATTTTTACAGCAGGTACATTTTATCTTACTCAATACTTGCATCCATGGATCATTCCTGTGCATTACTTTATTGTAATAGAAATACAATGGTTTTTTCTTTTTAATTATATAATTATATATATGGGATGAGTTCCTGCCCCAAGTGGAGGAGTTCAAGTATCTCGGGGTCTTGTTCGCGAGTGATGGGAGAAGGGAGCTGGAGATCGACAGACGGATTGGGGCTGCGGCTGCAGTAATGCGGACGCTGCACCGGTCAGTCGTGGTGAAGAGGGAGCTGAGTGTAAAAGCGAAGCTCTCAATTTACCGGTCGATCTACGTCCCTACCCTCACCTATGGCCACGAGCTGTGGGTAGTGACCGAAAGAACGAGATCGCGGATACAAGCGGCGGAAATGAGCTTCCTCCGAAGGGTGGCTGGCCTCTCCCTTAGAGATAGGGTGAGAAGTTCGGCCATCCGGGAGGGGCTTAGAGTAGAGCAGCTGCTGCTCCACATCGAAAGGAGCCAGCTGAGGTGGTTCGGGCATCTGGCAAGGATGCCCCCTGGGCGCCTCCTGGGCGAGGTGTTCCAGGCATGTCCCACCGGGAGGAGGCCCCGGGGCAGACCCAGGACACGCTGGAGAGATTATATCTCTCGGCTGGCCTGGGAACGCCTTGGTATTCCCCCGGACAAGCTGGAGGAGGTG